GGGGAGGGCCGGCTGGGCAGCGGCACCTCGAGGTAGGCCAGGGTGCTGTGGGGGGAGTGGGGCCCGCTGCTGTTTCCCTCTGCCTCCGTGAGCTCCTCTGCAACCAGAGAGGGCGGGCACTGGACTCCAGGCGTCCCTGGGGACTTGGAGGCAAGGGACTGCCCCCACGATCCCTCAAACAGCAAGCCCCCAAGTCCTCTAAGCATGGCTTTCGGCTCTGTTTCCCCTAAAGCCCCTGCCCCTGGGAGTGATGCCCACAGCCCAGGGGCGGGCTGTCCCCTTTCTGGGAATGCTTTCTGCACTCTGGCCCAATGAAATCCCCTCCCTGCGGAAACCCTGGGGATGGTAACCCCTTTGTCTTGGCAGTGTCCCCTTCAGCCAGGGAATGTCCTCTCCCTTCCCTTTTGAAGGCACCCTCATCCTCTTACCCATCTCATTGAGGCTGGCGAAGCCTGGGGCAATGGGGGTGTGTTTGGGGGACTTGCCCAGGTTGGGGGCGCTGGATGACCACTGTTTGCTTCCTTCCCCCAGGGCCTTCAGCCTGCAGGGGAAACAGAGTTGGGGGCGGGTGGTGGGCCTTCTGGTGGCCATGGGCCTGGGGGAGGGCACGGGGTGGGCTCCAGCCACCAATACCTCTCTTCTCCTTCAGCCTGCTCCTTCTGCAGGGTGGAGCTGGGCCCCCAGGTCCGGCCTTTCTTCTTGCCCCCAACCAGTTCTTCCTTCTTTGGGGGCCCGCTGCGGCCCCAGGTACTACTGCCGCTACTACCGCTGCCACTGCTGCCGCCGCCACCACCATCCATAGGAGTCACTGGGCCGAGAAAAGCCACTTGGTTACTGGGTCTTGGAAAGTCTGACCTGCTGGGTTCCCAGCTTCACTTTCCCCACCTGGGATTCATCCTCCACCTGGAAGCTCAAAGGATCTTGGATTCTAACTCCAATCATGACCCTTCTCTGCTCGAAATCCTTCCACAGCTCCTCACTGCCCAGGACGACAGCCCAGCTCCTCGGTCAGCATTCAAGGCCCTTCATGTCATTCCCAGCTGACTTCCTCAGCCTCATTTCCATCACTCCTCACAGCCTAACCCTTCAACCATCCACTCATTCTCAAATGTTTACTGAGCACCTGTTCTGTGCCAAGACCTGTGGCAGGTGCTGAAAAGACAGAAGTGGACAGCGCAGATGAACCCCAGCCTCAGAGGATCAACACGACTCTCACAGGGAAGTCATCTGTGCAGGAGGCAAGTGCTGCCGGAAACATGAGGCAGGACAGGGCCCTGGTGGCTGGGGAAGGCTTCCCGTGGGAGGAGAGAACTGGGCAAAGACCAGGTGGTGAGTGAGTCAAGAAGATACAAGGGAGAGGAGCACTTCAGGCAGAGGGAACGGCAAATGCCAAGGCCCTGAGCCTGGACAGCACGGGATGTGCACAGAACAGCATGAGGCTAGTGTGGTTGGTGCGGAGGGAGGGAGGGAAGGAAGGAGGAGAGCTAGAGTCGGGATATGCAGGCAGAGGGTGTAAGTGCCGTGGTTGGGACCCCATGTCCACAGGTTCCCAGGTGGGTGCTTCCACACCTCCATGCCTTTGCACAGGCTGTTCCTTCACCTGGAATTCTGTGCCTTTTCAGTCCCTTCCCTGACGTGGTTGGCTGCATGCCCTTCAAGCCTCCAGCTCTGGAGTAATTTGTTCCCTGGAGAGTCAGAAGGCTGTGTCTTCTCTGTTCCTACCACACTTTGAAGGCACCCTGATACCAGTACTGACTCCACTGCATGGCTGTTATTTGTCTTTGTGTCTCCCATGAGAATGACCTCCAGGCCTGGTACAAAGCTGGTGCCCAAACAGAGGTGTGCAGGAGGCAGTGTGTGGGGCAAGGCTGAGGGTGAATGATGGGGCAGAACAAGAGTCGAGTCAGCCCTATATCCTCCAATTTATCAGCAAACCCATGCAGCTGCACCTCTGCCAGGCAGCCCCTACTGTGACCATCTCTCCCTCCAAGGCCTACCCTGGGTCAGCCCCCATCACCTCACTTGTCTCCTGCCCTTACTCCTGCCCTCTTACCATCCACATCCCCACGGCAGCCAGAGGGAAAGGTATGTCTTTTCACATTGCTGCCTGCTCACAGCCCTCCAGAGCTCCCTGTCACCTTTAAAATGGAATCTAGGTTCTTTATCCAGCTCTCAAGGCCCAGCGTGATCTGGCCCCTGTTGAACCCCTGACCTATTGCTCTGCACCCCGATCGTTCTACTCCAGCCAAGTTGGCCTTTTGGGCCGACACACATGCCATGCTTGTTCCCACCTCTGGAACTCTGCCTTTGCCGTTCCCTCTGCCAGGGACACTCTTCCTCAGATCTCTGCATGTCTCTCTTGCTCTTACCACTTAGGTCCCTGCTCAAACTCCAGCGCCTCAAACAGGCCCTCCTGATACAAAACAGCAACTCTTCTCTTTTATTCCCTTCCCTGGTTTCCTTTATAGTGCTTATCCCTAAAAAGGTGATCCTGTCTGCTTGCTGATGATGTGTTCATTGTGTTTCTCCCCCATGAGAATGAGGGAGGGGACCCTGCCTGTCTTGTTCCCCGCTGATCCCCCGCTTGGTGCAAAAAATGTGTTCAGAGAAGTCTGCTGACTGATGGGTTGGTCAGGGCCTTGGGAGATACTCACAGCGAATGGCCCTCAGCCGGGGGATGATGCTGGGGCTTGCGGGGGGGCTGGTCCCATCGGATCCTTTCCGCTTGTCCAAGGTTGGAGAGGCCTGGACTGTGATCTTGTGCTCAAAGCCTGCAAAACAGAAACTTCCCTAAGCAAACGGTTCCACGGGTCACCTGAGCAGTTCCCTTCACAGAAGGGCAGTTCCCTCTAGGAGCATAGAAGCAGTGCCGCCATTTTGTATTCGTATCACAGTGGTTCTCCAAGTGTGGCTCCCACACTAGCAGCATCAACACTGAGTGGAAGCATCTTGAAATGCATGTTCCCGGGCCCTTCCTGAATTAGCAGCTTTGAGGGTAAGGCACATCTAACTGTGGAGGGACAAGTGCTCCAGGTACCCCTGATACACATTCAGGTTTGAGAGCGGCTGCCCTCACTAAGAACCTAGGCCTGAGTGTCCACTCTGGTGGCCATCAGCCACATGTGGCAATTGAGCACTTGAAATGTGGCTTGTATAACCAGGAACTGAAGAGTTTTACCTTTATTTATTTAACTGCAATTTAAGTTTACTTTTAAAGGCGAATATGCAAATTTGGTCATTAGAAACAATGAAGCATGTATGGAACAACCTGGGTGTATAAATCTGCTTTTTCAATATTTTATGAAGTCTAAAGACAGGTGAAGTATTTTTGATGAAAATTCAGACCTTGGATTGATATGTGCTATAAATATAAAATACATACTGGATTTCATAGATTTAGTATGGGGAAAAAAGGTATATTCCTTTAACAAGTCTTTCTTGTATTTATTATATGTGAAACCATAACATTTTAGATATATTGGGCTAAATAAAGTATATTATTAAAATGTCACTTGTTTCTCTTTCCCATATATATATATACACACATATTTATACATGTAATTTTCTTTATTTCAGAGAGGAAGGGAGAGGGAGAGATAGAAACATCAATGATGAAAGAGAATCATTGACTGGCTGCCTCCTGCATGCCCCAACTGGGGATCGAGCCTGCAACCCTGGCATGTGCCCTGACCAGGAATCCAACTGTGACCTCTTGGTTCATAGGTTGGTGCTCAACCACTGAGCCACACTGGCCAGGCTCTTTCCCTTTCTTAATGTAGCCATTAGAAAATTTAAAATCACACATGTGGCTTGCATTTCTGTGAGCTGGTGCTGTTCTAGGCACTGTGCTGTGGCTGTAACATCACAGAGAGACAACCAGCATAATGAGCCTTCTGACATCACCCAGGAAGCAGTCTTTGAAAAAAAATAAAATCAAACCTAAACTTGAAACTAATTAAGCCTTGAGATCCATGTGAAACCTATGTTTGTAGATCAAAAATGGCTGAACATCAGCAATTTCATATGGTTTAACCTAATACCAATTTGTAGGAAATCCAGGAGACATAGGGACCTGTGAAGTGAAAACTGGGCAATTCAAGCAGCAAAATCTAGACTGTGGGAACAGGATAAATGATGTGTCCTCAACAAATTATTGGCAAGGAGGAAAACGAGGCAGAGTAAAAGATATTAAGCAAATAGTTGGGAGACAAAACTATAAAGTAAGGAAGTGACTGCCCTGAAAGTCAAGACAGGTTACTCTCAGGGGGCTGCAGGGCGTTGGAGGGGGCACATGGAGGGCATCTGGGTGGCTGTAGGGTGATTATACTAATGCTTTAAGCTGTACAGTTTTTGGTGGTTTTGTGTGTGTGTGTGTGTGTGTGTGTGTGTGTGTGTGTGTGTGTGTATGGTATTTAGCATTAAAAATATATATATTTTAAAAGCCCTAGCTGGTTTGGCTCAATGGATAGAGCACCTGTGGACTGAAAGGTCCTGGGTTCGATTCTGGTCAAGGCCACATGCCCAGGTTGTGGGCTCAATCCCCAGTAGGGGGTGTGCAGGAGGCAGCCGATCAATGATTCTCTCTCATCATTGATGTTTCCTATCTCTCACTCTCCCTTCCTCTCTGAAATCAATAAAAAAAATATTTAAGAAATATTTTTAAAAGAAAAGAAAAAAGGAAGCAATAAACTCTGGGTTAGGGACGCTCCAAGCTGACAGAGATGAGTACCAGAGGGCAGGCTGATGTGGCTGCCACCTTCCCGCAGCTTGAGAAGGCGGGTGCGCCTGAAGTTGCCCTTGCGTCTGCGGACACGGGGCTTTTCCTGGCTCAGCTGGCACATCAGCAGGTGCAGCTCCCGCTCCACGATGTCCATCTCACGCTGCGCCAGCTCCTGCTCTCGCCGTCGCAGCTGCTCCTCTTGGCAGCGCTGCTCCTGGGCCGCCCGCAGTAGCTCCTCCTCACGGCTGCGGAGCTCCTGGAGAGGAGACGGGGCTGGGGGAAGGGCTTGGCTACCTCTGCCCCTGGGATGAACCCAGGGCTGAGGGGTCTGGCTGGGGCCCTGCCTAGGAGTGTCCTGCTGTGTGAGCAAATTGGGGGCACAAAAGTTGGGTGCCAGGGCCGGGGACTGTGTTAGCCCAAAGAAAGAATGTCTTTTTTTTCCTCTTTAATTTTTTAACTCTTCAATTAGGAAAACTTCAAACATCCATGAAAGCAGAGAGAACAGTCTGTCCCCATGCTCCCATCATCCAACAATTGTCCGTACTTTGCAAATCTTCCCCTTCCTTCTCTCCTCTCTCTCCCTCTCGTTTTGCTGTAGTATTTAAAACTAACCCCCGATTTCAGGTAGTATCACTTGTAAGCACTTCAGGGCAGGGTGCCTTTTTCTTTTTAATCCACTAACAGAAGGCTGTCTTTTCTTAGACAAAAAAGGGTCCCTGGGCCCCGGCTCGGGAAGGGACTCTACCCCACCCAAGGCATCAGAACTCAGGGGTCTTGTCCATCCCTCCCACCTTGCCCCTTGCCTTCACCTTCTCCTTGGTTCGGAGATCATTGAACATGTGCTGAATCTCCAGCTTCCAGTCTTCCTGCAGTGAGTGGAAGGACTCCAGTGGCATCTGGAATAGGGCTGACTGTTCTATGACTTCAAGCTGCTTCAAGATGCTGCTGAAATCTGGCCGCCCGTGGGGGTCTGGGTCCCAGCACTCTGGGGTGGGAGTAGAGATGTCAGTGGTCATGCTCTGGGGCATCAGCCTGCTCAGTGAAAGGCAGGACTTTAAGGGGCTGTACACAGACAGCTTCCATGGAGCTGAGGGGAAGGAATTCAAACCCAAACTCCTGGCAATCTTTCACTCTGAAACTCTGGGAGAGAAACCCAGGGACCTGATCTCTGACTGCTGATAGAATCAGGGATCAGGGAGGGATCCTAGGGCAAATGAATCCTACCAGATTGCCCTCAAGAACTGTGGGCCCGGCCAGAGTAAGGGTCTGGGGGCCATGGAGCCAACTGTGGGGGAGTCATTGTCTGATGGGTCCAGCCCCTTCTCTCTCACCCCTGGGCCCACTGGTATGGATGGGTGTGAATGGGCGAGGTCTGGACCCACGGGCCCCTGCCACCCAAGCTGAGCCTTCCCTCTCCACGGGGCCCTGGCTCACCCTCCAGGAGGCGGGCAAAGGGCTCGGGGCATGTGGAGGGGATGGGCAGTGTCAGCTTGTTCATAGCCACGCCATATGCCACAGCCAAGGCGTCGATTTCACGGTAGGGGACCTCACCCGTCAGCAGCTCCCAGAGCAGCACCCCGAAGCTGCAGGTGGGGGAGAGGGAGGGGTGATGCACAATCCACCCCAATCCTCACTTATACCCCAGTCCTGCCTCCAGTTCCCTGGTGCGCCCCCCTCACCCCGACATTCAGCCTGGCCAAAGAGGCCACAACCACCCAATTTGACCTCCTCTGCCCTGATCGCAAATGGATGTGCCGAGATTGCTCTCTGACGTCTGGCTTCTGCTCTCTCCTCCCTTGCCCCTGCCTGGAAACCTTCAGTGGGTCCCCTGTGCCCACCCTTCTTAGCCCTGACCTTGGGTGACCCCTGCAGCTCACCTGTAAGCACTCTCAGCCTCCATATCAACCTCAGCTTCATCTTGCAGCCACACTTGAGTTGAACAAGCCCTGTTCTTCCAAACTTCTGGCCTTTGCACAGGCTGTTCCCTTTGTCAAGAACACTTTTCCCTTTGTAACTGTCCCTTCAGTCTCAACTCAGGTGCTCCCTCTCCCAGGAAGCCTTCCTTGATTTCACAGCCTCCAAAGCTGGGTTAGAGGTCCCTCCTCTATGCTCCCATAGAACCTGTGGCACTTACCCATAAAAACAAGTTAACACTATCTAACATTTATAAAGTACTTTCTTATGGCTAGCACTGTCCTAGGCACTCAGTAATCCTCACAACAGCCCTGGAAGGCAGTCTTGGTATGATCCCCATTTTATCTGATGAGCAGAGTTGTAGGCTCAGAAAGGTTAAGCTGCTCGCCTACAGTCACACAGCTAGTAAGCAGTAGAGCCACACTCAAACTCAGGTTTGCCTGATGCTCACGACAATGTCCCTAATGGCTCCACAGCACCAGAGCGTGCATCTCTGTGCTACAACCACCTGCGTGCCCATCTTCTCTAGTAAGCTGTGCTCCTCTGGATCTTGACCGCTGCTTTATGCAGTGCCTAACATGTCCGCCATATCCCCACGTGCATTCATTCACATGTACCTAAGTATCCAGTGTGCCAGACACTGTTCCAGGCACTGGAACAAGATAGATGCGACCCCTGCCCTCATGCAGCTGACAGCCTCCCCTCTTTCTCAGTGACAGTGCTGGTGAATTTGCGCTGGGCATATGCTGCCTGAAATAATCTTTCCATCTTCCTTTGCAGCTCATTGTGCCCACATGACATTGGTTCTGGCCAGAGGGATGTAGCAGGGTGTGTAGTGTGCAACTAACTTCCAGGAAGTATCCTTAAAGGGAAGAGGTGCCCCGCTAATCGTTTCTCCTTTCTACTGATTGGAATGTGGACATGAAAGCTGGAGCGCAGGCAGCCATTTTGGACCATGAGGTGAACTTGGGAATGGAGGCCATGCAAGGTGGAGGAACATGAGAGGGGCTTATAATTAGAGGCGGCATGATCCTCCACCTTTCCTATGTTCCTGGAAACCTGTGGGGATGTTTGATTGTCACAACGACCGGGGAGTGCTACTGATGTTTGGCTGCTTCGAACCATGGATACCTTTGTCCTGAAAAGTCCAGGACAGTATCGCACAAGCAAGAATTATCCTGCCCAATGTCAATGACACCCCCACTAAGGGACCCTGACATAGGACCTTGGATCTCTAACACTATCAGTCCTGGCTTCACATGACAGCAAAAACTTCAGCCTTGTTTTTATTTGGGGTTTCTGTTCCTTGCCACTGAAACATGGCTCTGCTAAATGCCTGGGACCACAGATGATGCCTCATGTGAAGACAGTCTCAGGACGTCCCCCAAAGGCTGTGCTCTCTAGGTGAGATCCTGTCTGCCCAAAGCCATGACTTTGCTGCTTGGTCCATCTGGAGCCTCATTGGGGGCTCTCTCCCAGCAGCAGGCCCTGGGTTAAAGAGTTTTGCTGCCACCACAAAGACCCAAAGGCTGTGCTCTCTAGTTGAGATCCTGTCTGCCCAAAAGCCATGACTTTGCTGCTTGTTCCATCTGGAGCCTCAGTGGGGGCTCTCTCCCAGCAACAGGCCCTGGGTTAAAGAGTTTTGCTGCCACCACAAAGTCTTGTTGGTGATGGCAGCAGCCTCCCCACTGGCCTCCCACTCCCACTCCTCCCCTACAATCCATTCTCCACCCTACAACTGGAGGCAGCCTTTCCAATGCTGAGTCAGATCGCATCATTCATAAATGCCTCTAATGGCGTTCCATTATGCTTAGAATAAAACAGAGGCTGGTGCCTCATTCAAGAGGCCCTCCAGCTCTCTTTCCTTCATTTCCTACCACTTTCCTCCTTGTCTGCTCTAGCCAACCACACAGGTCCTCATAGCTGTTTCTGGTCCCACTAATCTTAGTTTCATCTCAGTACCTCCTTTGTGTGAGTTGTTCCCTCTGACTGGGAAGCTTCTTCCCCCAAACTCTGCATAGTTGGCTCTGTCTTGTCATCCAGGATGCAGCTCAATTATCTCGTCTCATAAAAGCCTCTGCAAGAAGTCCTCCAGCCTTCAGAGCTCTTTTCCGTCAACCTCCTGGCTCATAATGCTATCTAATACTTTTTCTAGTGAATAAACTTATATTACTTTACAATTTTCTTAAAAACGGCTTTTTTCCAGCTTCTTGTGTGCTTGTTTACTATCCCTGCAAGCAGGGAATGTGTCTGTTTTTATTTCTGCTGTATCCCTAGCACCCAGCACTATTGGTTGGATGGATGGATGCATGAATGGTTGTCTCCAAAGGTCTCAACTTCCTGTTTGACAAGTTGGGGCTGTGTAATGGATTGTGTCTGAAGGGCCTTTCGTGCTGACAACATCCAATCTCTACATCTTTGCTTTTGTTTTGTGTGTGTTTGTTTTACTGCAGCCCAAGTCCTCCTCAGCTGCCACTTTTGCTATCAGAGCAGAGACCTGCTTTGGTACCCGTCTATTGGTCTGACATGGCCAGCACTTTCCCAGGCCCAGAACCTGGCTTCAGTGGGAGACTGTCCCTCCCACTCTGCCCTCGTCACCCCTGCTCACCCCCCCATTTCCAAGAGGCCTCCCAAGCCCCATCAGCACCTCCAGACGTCACTGCTTTTGGAGAAGAGGGAGAGACGAATAACCTCCGGGGCCATCCAGGCGTAAGTCCCTGCAGCGCTCATTTTGGTGGTCTTGTGCCACTCTCGGGCGAGGCCGAAGTCCGTGATCTTGAGCACCGTGTCCGCGAGGTTGTGGTTCTCGATGGCCTCCAGAATGAGGACTGTGGGGTAGGAAGAAAGGGGTCACCCCAGACCTGGTGGGCTGTAGACCGCATGTCCTGGCCTTGCCTCAGCTGGACTTTTTTACTTGTTTTCTGTCCCCCACCTCAAGTGGCCGGTCTAATCCCTACACCTTCCAGGAGTACTTCTTGGCCCCAACCTGGACGCTGGGGAGCTCAGTGAAAGGTCGATGGCCAAGGCCTTGGTTCGCCTTGAATTCCCAACCTCCCCAGAAGTAGAAGCTACAAACCATGAGCCAAAGGGATGAACAAGGTTTCCTTTGTCTTTGTCATCCCTGTGGTCACTGCACTCATGTCATGGCCCCAATTCTACTCCTTTCTGTGTCATACTCTTTGCCACATGACTTCGCAAATCTTCCCACTAAAGACGCAGAGTGCATGTCCCCATGCTTTCCTCTGGGTTGGCCAGATGACTTGCTTTGGCCAGTAGAATGAGGCAGAAGTGAGGGTACCAAGCCTAGGCCTTAAGAGGCCTCGTGTGCTGGCTTGCCCTCTTGCACTTCTGCCATCAGCAGAACATGCCTTGCTGGTCCAAGGCAGATGCGAGATCCTCGGAGCAAAGCCTTTCCAGCTGACCCAGCCTAAGTCATTTACCCTCCAGCTGGCCTGCGAATGCATGAGCAGTAATAAATGACAAGGAGTTTGAAGACACTGAGTTTTGGGGGTGGTTTGTTACACAACAGCATTGTGACAAAATCTGACTGATACATCCCGAAGCATACTGAATGGTTCCAACTTACTTGCTGCCTACCGTCAATACTAATAATAATCATGGCTGGTGTTTATCAGGATATTATTATGTGGCAGGCACAGTGCTAAGCACCCCAAGAATTACATGAAGTGTTTCACTTATATTAGTATTCATTTCATTATATTCATTTACATAAATTAACTAGCAAGCAACCCATTTTGCTGACTAGCAAACCAAGGCTCAGAGCAATGAGGTCACTTGGCCAAGATCACACAGCTTAAAAATGGTGAGGTAAAGCCCAGATGTGTCATCAAAGCCCAATCTTTTAACTCCTATGACATTCTACTACCTCCTATCAAACAGAGGCCCCAAAGTGTACAGGGTACAGCCTGGGCTGGAATTAAAGCTCTGCCACTTATTAGTTGCATAACCTTGTATAATTTTGTTTTTATTAACACCAAGATTTCTCCATCTGTTATATGGAGATGATAATAATAATAATATTTACCTTATAGGGTTGTAGCAAAGATTTATTGCCTGAAGCAACAGTAAGACCTTTAAGAATGTTAGCTATTACTATTAGTGTGTGATGCCACCATAATTGTTTCTTTATCTTTGACCCTTCCCAGTTACTTCTCCAGTCAAAATAACAATGAGGTAATTCTACTATCATGTCCATTTGGCAGATGAAGAAACCAGGGGTTAGAGAGATCAGTACATTTCCCAAGGTCACACAGTTGGTAATCTTGTTAATTTTTACAAGCCTGATTCAAATGCCGCCTCCTCCTGGCAGCCTCCTGTGACTGTCTGTGACTCCAACTACTAGAAATACTCCCTTCTGGGGTCCCCACTGCTCCTGTTTGTGGAGTGATGCTGTGACAGAGGGAACAACCCCATGGTCATACACTTTATTTTTGCATCTTCCAGGCGGGGCCTAAATCGGTTCCCTTTAAAAAATATATCTGGCCCTAACCAGTTTGGCTCAGTGGATGGAGTGTCGGCCTGCGGACTGAAGGGTCCCAGGTTCGATTCCAGTCAAGGGCATGTACCTGGGTTGCGGGCACATCCCCAGTAGGGGGTGTGCAGGAGGCAGCTGGTTGATGTTTCTCTCTCATTGATGTTTCTAACTCTCTCCCTTCCTCTTTGTGGAAAATCAATAAAATATATTTTAAAAAATATATATCTGATCATGTCATTCTCCTGCTTAAAACCTTCTAATGGCTTCCACTACATTGAATAAAATGCCCAAAGTCTTCACTGTAGCCCCCAAGGTCAACAGGATCTGGCCTCTGCCTACCTTTCCACCTTTGCCTCACTCCTACTCTTGCAATTCCTGGGGTCTTGCAGTCTCTCTAACAAGGCACACTCTTTCCCTCCTCATGACCTCTGCCCTGCCCACATCTTTGTAAGGCTGGATCCTTTTGGTTTGGGTCTCTGTTCAAATGTTGCCTTCCCTGACCAGCTGATCCAAAGAGCTCTCTCTGCCCCATCCTTAATCTGCTTTATTTCCTTCGGAGCTTGGTACTCTCTGGAAATTTTATCTAAATATCAATCACTGGTTGAACATTGACCTATGAACCAGGAGGACACGGTCAGGGCACATGCACAGGTTGCGGGCTCGATCCCCTAGGCAGGAGGCAGTCAATCAATCATTCTCTCTCATCATTGATGTTTCTCTCTCTCCCTCTCCCTTCCTCCCTGAAATAAATTGAAAATATTTTTAAAAATTTACAAATTTTTATAAATTTAGGAGAGTGCCTAGTATGCTTAATTCTGCTTAAGAATTATTGGTTGAAAGAACCAGTGAGTGTGATACATCAGATGAGGACTCCTTAGGGGAGGGTGACTGGGGGAAGCTGTGCTGTGGAGGCCTGTATCCTCTGTCTCAGGCTTGGAGCAGGCCCATTGCCGGAGCAGGAAGTCCTGGCCTAGAGTCTTACCAACCCTCTGTTCAGGTGGCACTGGCTACACAACAACTTGGGGGTGGGAGCAGTGTCTTTATACCCAGCTGCAGGATGTGAAATCAGCAGGGGTGAGGAAGAACCTAGAAGGTGCCCTAGCCTTCAAGAGGAGTCCTGCCTCCATTTACCCAGCATTTCAGAGGAGTAGAGCATGAACATCTATAAAGGCAGGGACCATCTATGTCTGTCTTCCTTCATTCCCCAGTCCTGGTATAGGGCTTGGCACACCTTGAACACTTGGTAGCTCTCTGTTGAGTGTACGAATGCCAGGCCTGGTAGGTAAGGCTCACCCCTCTGTTCTAGGTGGTGGTGGGGGCATAGCAACAAACTTATAAAAAATAATGGGATGGATTCAAACAAATTTCAAGATGTAGAATTGACAGGGATCAGAAATAGATGAGATGTGAGGGCCAAGGGGAACCCTTCACAGTTCATGTGAGTGCAGGGAACATGCTGGTCTCATTTCTCATTGATCCCTCTAGCTTAGCACAAGATCCAGCCCAGTAAATACCAAACTAAAGAATGAATAAATAAATGCAGAAATGAAAGGAAGTGAGAAGGGGCAGAGGAAGATAGAGTAGGATTTTGCCCCTGCTGTATCCTTAAGACCCACAACAGGGTCTGGCATACAACAGGCGCTCCTGAAATATCTGGGAATGAATGAAATCTCTAGTTTGTAGGTATTATTAGGGCAGAAATCATGGCCATCTTCGTCCCAGCTTTGCTCCTACATAAGAGGTGCTCAGTTAATATTTGCTGACATCACGAGAAGCTCCTTGATCTAGATGTGGGTCCCCGGGAACCTTCCCTTCTACCAGGTCTCTGTCCTCATTGAACAACCAATCAACGTTTGAGGGCCTGTGACAGGCCTGGCAGCCTGGAAGCTTTTATATAAAGCACATTCCTTTTCCTCCTTCCTCATCTTTTCCGGTTTGCCTCAGCTAGCTGGACCCGAGGCATAGCAGGACTCCAGGAGGTGGTTCTCCAATAGGGGACACTTGGCAATGTCTGGAGACATTTTTGCTTATCGTAACTGGAGGTGGGGTTGGGGTGAGGAACGCCTAGTGGCATCTAGTGGGTAGAGACCAAGGATGCTGCTCAATAACTTACCACACACAAGACCGACCCTGTGATCACCCTCCCCAAAGGTCAGTAGTGCCAATGCCGAGAAACCCTCACCAGGCCAGGTTCTCTGTCTCTGGGGGGCTCTGGTGTCCTGGTGGGCAGGGTGCCTTGAGGGCAGGGGTGCATCTGCCCTGTTCACACCGGGAATGCAGGGTCTGTCACAGTGTTTACAGACACATATTTATTGAGCGACGGCGACCTTAGCCTGGGAGGCAGGCAGTCCTTCAACCTTTCTGAGCCACCCTGTCCTCCCTTAATGGGCAAGGCCTGCCTCGCCGGCCCTGAAGGTTACTGCTGCCCCTTCCTGTCCCCGGCAGTGTTTTCTGGTTTTCCCACTTCCCACCACCTCGGCCTGGCCTCCTAAAGCTCTATGGAAGCAAGTTCTGGGGGATGACACCACTTACTGTTGATGGACTTGAGGTCCCGGTGGATGATGGGCACGGGGGCCTCATTGTGTAGGTAGTTCATGCCCCGGGCCACCTGCACCGCCCAGTTGACCAGTACATGCGGGGGCACCTGGCGACCCGCCAGCACCCTGCTCAGCGCGCCCCCCCGGGCATACTCCATCACCAGGCAGAGGTGCGGGGGGCTGAGGCAGGCGCCCCGGAGGGCAATGATGTTGGGGTGCCGGAGAGCTCCGAAGAGCCGGGCCTCTTGGCGCACCTGCTCTGCGGTCAC